GTTTAGATGAAAATAGAGAGGAAATGAGAGGAAATGAAGTATTGTTTGTTTAGAAAGTGAAATAAGTGGTTGAAATTTCATAAACACAAGCTTAAAGAGCTCATCAATGGTGGTTTTGGGTGGTTGCAAATATTGATGACAATGGCATTATGGTAAATAAGGAGAAATATTTAGGGTGTAATAGGTTTTTTATAATTTTCGAAAATAAAATCAGATTTAAAAATAATGGCATTTTGGTAAATAGGTGGAAACATGAGGAGAGTTTAGGTTTTTTAAGAGTGAATAGTAATGACAAAAAAAAAGAGGTTGGTTTTGTGTTTGACTTGAAATTTTAGGTTGGTTTTGCAAAAACCCCATTTATTAAACTAATTTATATGAAAATATATATTACTTTTTGAATATATAAAACATGATTTTTATTGATCATATATTTTAAAAAGATACAAAATATTAAAATGCAACAATTTATAAACAAATATTAATTATTTAAGTTATATTACTTATTATTAAGAAAATAATAAAATGAACTATAGTAAACATTTTTTCTGCCAATGTAAATATTATTTATTAGTGAAGCTAAATACAATAGCTAATACAAAATACACTGTTTATTAAAAATAATTACATGTGTTATAGTATATATGTTGTAAAAAATTAAAAATTTACTGAATATTATTAGTCATAAACTTTAAATTTATTTGTAACATAAATGCTGATCAAGTACATAATTAAACACAAGATAAAAATATTGCATATATTAATATATAATTAATTAAATAAAATATAAAAATGTACGTATATGTCTTAATATATGAAAATATAAGATGAATTATTAATCACATGCATACATTAATAAACTAATTTACTTAAAATAATAAAATTAATTAATTTAAAGGTAAAAATGCATGCATGTATCATAATTCATTGAAGGAAAAAAATGTACCTTGATTTTTAAGAAAAATCTTGATTTATTATTGCAAAGACTAAATGAGAAGTGTTATTCATTTACTTGTAATAAATATTTTTAAAAAGGTTTACAGCCATTGGACCTCTGACTCTCGCCAGCCCTCTTTTTCTTATTACCTGCAGATCAAAGAAAATAACACATAAACTATTCTGAATGCAGCACAATAATATTTTATTATTTTATTTTAGTTCTGCAATTTAATGGATGAATGGATAATATATGCAGTCTCGTCTGCATTTAACTTTCTCCTGCTTTTCTTCTGCATTTGTTCTGGTTCACATTCAAAGCCTAACATTTGGTGGTGTTGATCTGTTTTTTTTTTCCTTTTACTAATAAATAGTTTTATTACAAATTACAAACACTTAACTTTAAAATATATATTTATTATAAATAATGTACAATTATTAACTCAAACTATATAGTTCACATTAATATTATTTGTGTTATTTTAAAATTATAAGCATGATGTATAATCGCCAAAAAGATAATATTTTCCACGAAAAATATAATTTTTTCTACATAAATGTCAGCAAAAAAAAATTAATATTTTTTATATTTTAAAATAATTAATAAATAGAAGAAGTACAAGCATCTAATAAAAATTTTACAGACATTTCGACTGAACCTACAACATCTGAAATATTTGTTTTGGTATTTGGTGTAATTTTTATTATTTTAATATACGATAGATAGTTTTGAACATATTTTGTCATTTATAATAAATTATTTAATCTGTTTGATCTCTATTTCTATATATAAATATCAACAAAGAATTAAATATTAAGATGTCTGTTCTTCAAAAATAATTTTTATCAACTAAAACGCAAATAGAAGACGTACAAGCATCTTATGAAAAAATTAGTAAAAATTTCGGCTGATCCTACAACATTTAAAATATTTATTTTGATATTTGGTATAATTTTATTCTTTTAATATATGATATATAGTTTTGAACTGATTTTGTCATTCATAATTTATGATAAACTGTTTGATCTGCATCTCTCATGCATGATCCGCTTGATCTGCACTTGTCCCACTTGATCTGCACTTGTCCTGCTTGATCTGCATGAACCGCTTGATCTACTTTTACCATTCAAAGCCTATGTCTTCCTTTTAATGGGCTTGCGATAAGTACACCTAATCCATAGAAACACCAAAGACATGTTCTTTATCCTATAGTCATCATCTTTTTAGATTCTTCTTCTTCGTGAAATATATCTGAAAGAAAGAAAAAAAAAGATTGGAAGGCAAATAGTCTATCATTAGAGGCTTCGAATGGTAAAAGCAGATCAAGCAGTGCAGATCAAGCGGTTCATGCAGATCAAGCAAGACAAGTACAGATTAAGCAGGACAAGTGCAGATCAAGCGGATCATGCATGAGTGATGCAGATCATGCAGGAGAGATACATATCAAACGATTTATTATATATTATGAATGACAACATCAGTTCAAAACTATAGATCATATATTCATATAATAAAAGATTATACTAAAATATCAAAATAAATATCTTAGATGTTGTAGGATCAACCGAAATGTTTATTGGATTTTCCATATGATGCTTATATTTCTTCTATTTTCATTTTAGTTAATCAAAATTATCTTTGAAGAACTAGCAGGTTATTAATATTAAAATCTTTGTTGATATTTATATAGAATGATTTATATTTTTTTTTGTTGAAAAATATTATGTTTGTTTGTGACTGAAGGTCATATTTATAAGTTTAAAAATGATATGCTTGTAATTTTAAAATTGACACAAATAGTATTTAGTGTGAATAATATTGTTTGAGCTAATCAT